AGACGAGGGCGGAGGAGGCCTGCCCGTGTTTCACGGGGGGACGCTGCCGGCAGGCAACGGACCCCCGAGAGGCCGCGGCCACTGACCCCCCCCCAGCGAGAGAGAGTGCAGTGTGCGCCACAGAGATCCTCACAGGTGGCACTGAGGATCCCGTCGACCGCCCGGCTAGCGCGGGACCCGCGGACCCGATCGGACGGATCCAGGAGGACGTCGGCTGCGCCTTCCCGGGCCTAAACGACGAGCAGCTGAGACAGACCCAGCAGCGAGATCCGGATCTGGCGGCGGTGGAGACGGCACTGCGAGAGAAGAAGGATGCACTACCAGGGCCCTGGAGCGGTTTGTATGCCCGGTTGTGTGTAGAAAACGGGGTGGTGAGGGAACTGGCCGACGCTGGGCAGCCGGGGTGCATCTGCGTTCCCGCCCATGTGCGACCCCAACTACTACGACTGGTACACGACCACCCGCTCGGGGGCCATGATGGGGAACGGCGCACCCGGGAGACTCTGCGTCGCCAGTATCTCTGGCCTAAATTGGCGCAAGATGTGGCCGCCTGGGTGCAGGGCTGCCGGGCCTGTCAGCAGTGTGGGCAAAAGCCGGCGAGGTACAAGGTACCCCTGAGGCCGTTCCGAGTCAGTCGGACGAATCAGTGGGTCGGAATCGACCTGCAGGGGCCCTTCCCACGATCCCACCGGGGCAACCGATATATTCTCGTAGCGGTGGAGTACTTCACCCGCTACCCCGTGGCGGTGGCTATCCCGGATAAAACAGCCCTCATAGTTGCCCGGGCCTTCGTGGAAAACTACGTACTTAAGTGCGGGATCCCCGAACGAGTCATTACCGACCAGGGTAGTGAATTCGAGGCCGAACTATTCCAGGCGCTGTGCCGAGAGTTCGGGATCCAGAAGGACCGAACCACGGCGTATCACCCCCAGGCGAACGGGATGGTAGAGAGGATGAACCAGACTCTGGCCGGGAAGCTTAAACGCATGGCGGCCGCGAATCAACAGGACTGGGACGAACACCTCCCCTATGCCCTGTTCGCCTACACCACCGCCGTTCACACATCTACAGGACAGACCCCGTTCCTAATGATGTTTGGTCGCGAGTCTCGCCTGCCCGCAGATCTGCTGTTCGGTGTCCCTCCGCCGCAACGGGAGGAAGGGAGCCACCCCGTGGAGCACTTGCTGGAGACCCTGCGAGGGGCCAGGGGCCGAGCCTACCCGCACGGAGAGGCCGCACACCAGCGGCAAGAGCAGGGCGCGCGAACCCGTATGGAGCCCCCCTTCTACACTGCGGGCTCCGAGGTGTGGCTGTACACTCCCCGCGTCGGTGCCGGACAGGTGGGGAAGCTGACCACCTACTGGCGAGGACCCTGGATTGTGAGACGGCAGATCTCACCATGGACGGTGCTGATTCAGGGAAGAGAGAGGGGCCGGGAGATGGTGGTCAACATCCGCCGACTGAAGCCGTGGCGAGCAGCCCCCGAGGGGGGGAGCCCCGCCGTCCAAAGTACCCCGAAACCCCGGGGTCCCCCCACCCCCCGTGCCCGGGGGCCTCGCGCAGTATATGGGCCCCACGGAGCCCCGGGCTCACTGCACTGCCCCCCATCACCCCCCCCCACATAAGCACGCACCCGCACCCACGTAGGGCCTTGTGGTCGGGTCACCTACCCTGAGTTTTCACCCGAGGGCCCCCTCGGGGGGTTACCCCACGGTTTCTCAGGGCCAGGGAATTGGACAGGACCCTTCCCAGGCTAAGTAACACTGCGGCGCCGTGGGCGGATTTGAGATCGCACGACCACGGCGAGCTCAGAGAGCCCCGCAGTTAGAAACACATACAAACACAAACACGGGTCAGCAAGGCAGATAGCTAGGATCAGGACCCGGGGCTGCTGCTTAGCCAAAAGGTCAAAGGCCGGCGGGATCGCAAAAGGGCGGGAAATCCTAGGCTCAGGATTGGTCGAGAGACCAAGGCGGTCGGGACGGGGGCGCCTAGCCTTTGATGTGGATAGTTTAAAAGAAAACGCAGGGGCAGTAGGGAACTCTCTTCTTCTGGAGTAGTGACATGGGGTCAACGACGAGGGAGTCATCGGGCGAGCCGCAGGATCGTCTGCAGGACGACCTGAGCGCCGCAAGGTCACCTAGGACTACAGACGGTATCGTATTACGCGCCTTACAACACCTCAGAGCGGAGAGTAGGATCCGTAGGAGAAGGTTACTTCAGGGTAAGGACGAGTAGGAAAGCGGTGTAACAGAGAGCGCAGCATAGAATAGGGCTGGACGCCACTAGAGAGTGGGTTGGAAGCGCCTTGCTGGCTCGTACACACACACGGGTGGCTCGGTGAGTTAACAAGGGTTAATAAAATCTCGAGCGTAGTAACAAAACCGTGTTGTTGGGTGTTTTTGAACGTGGTAATAGCGTGCACTGCATTCGCGGGTGTGTGGTCGTTGTATGCGTAAAGGCCGTGGTCTCTGTACGATGGTGCGGGTACGGAGGTGTGTGTGCTAACGCCCGGGGAGAGCACTTTTGTGTGTTGGCGTGCCTACGCAGCCGTGTGAGAGGAGAATCGTCCTTGCACGATACTTGTGTTGACGTGCACGCGCGTGTGCGAAACCGCGGTGCGCAGTGAAGCTGTTAGCTTTGTGCGAGCTTGCGTGTGCTCGAGCGCGTAATCGGCTGCGCATTGTTGTACGGTTTATCTTGCGCACACGGCGGCGGCAACTTGAGTCGTTGTGTCAGCGTGTGCCCCGCTTGCGTGTGCTCGTTACGTGCGTAAAGTGCGGCGCGGTGGTGAGTTCCTGACCCCCAGCCCCGCGGCTCGAGCGCGTAATCGGCTGCGCATTGTGGTACGGTTTATCTCGCGCGCACGGCGGTGGCAACTTGAGTCGTTGTGTCGGCGCGTGCCCCGCTTGCGTGTGCTCGTGTGATCCCGTGTTATAAGTGTGAACGCGTGTGGTACGGTGTATGCGTAAGCTCTCGTCGTGCGAAATCGGCGTACCCCAGGTGCGCGATCGTAACGTGAGCGGCCAGCGCGGTGCAGAGCGGCGCAAGAGTGGGTATCGCGTGTGGAGCTGTATGTGTGTGCGCGCACGTTCACGACGTGTATAATACAGGTGCGCGATCCTAACGCGAGTGGTCAGTGTTGAGTGAGTGCCGTGCAGAGCTGTGTGTGTGGAAGTGCGCATACGTTCGTTACGTGTCGGATACGGATGCGCATTGGTAACGTGCCGCACAGGGCTATACTGCGAGCACGGCGTTTGATTGATGATGATGTGCGCACGTATGTTCGCAGCGTGGGAGCGCGGCGCGAGGCTGTAAATAGTAGGGGTGTCGCGTTCGAATGCCGGCGAAACCGTAGCGGGTAATAGGGAGGTGGGGTAACGTGAACGAATAGGGGATGCAGGCGGGAGGGACCCCGGGGGCCAACGGCCCCCACAGGCTTATCACGTGAAATTTACAGATGCATAGAGATCCATACCGTCCCATAGACTAAACTTAACAGTTTTTTTTATAGGTAAAGCCCACTGAGCTATTTTCAGAAGAGCCCTGACCACACATGGAGTGGCAAGGGAGATAGATAACATCTCGCCACCCCGGTGCCCCAGTGACCCTCAACGGAGCCTACCAGACGGTATGGGTGTGCGTTGTAAGCGAGGGCCTCGAGTGAAGGGGCTGTACAAATATACAATTGGATTAGATATTTGATTAGATTCACAATTCAACTCAATGAATTAAGTCTAAATGTAAAATCAATGTGCGAATTGTTTTACATTTCGCAATCGTGCACATTTTTGACAAACAACCTTGTTCTAGTGTATGGCATTTTTACTGCAAATACAAAATACAAATTATTTTAGAACTGCTTTTGGTGTTTACGTTTGTTGTCCTTCCCCGCACCTCAGAGATTAGTACGGTTGGTCATGTTCGGTGGTGCAAATGAAGTTCAACATACACATATGGGTACGGGTCTTGTTGTGTTTAGTGTTATTGTCCTTCCCCCGCACCTCGGAGATTATTGGCATGTTTGGTTACGTACGGTGGTGCGAAAGAAGTTCCAAATATTTCCACGAGCTCATCCTGAAGGCCATGCACATAGCACAGGTAGTGTTTGACGCTGAGTGGCGAGGGGGATGCAGAGCAAAGCTGCTGAGTGGCAGCTCCGTGTGGTTGTTTTAACTCGCCGATCTCGTGATGAAAAGCAGCAGCCCCACGTGCTTTGTCAAGGGCCACTGGTGTCAGTGGTGGCCATGAGTGAAAGCCAGTGCATTAACCAGCGTGAAGTATGGCTAATCAACCAGCAGAGAATATATCAAGTTCAACATACACGCACACATCGTGTGGCTGCTGCTGCCTTCTCGCTCGAGTCTGTGGGTCTGACTTGCCCCTCCGAGTCGTATTTGGAAGGCAGATTATGACAAAGAGTGTACTTGTCATGCTTTTCAACGTGTCTCTGTCTGGAATGGAAGTGATGCACCTGGGGTTCTGGTCTTGTAAACACACCACTCATTGTTCTGGTTACAAGAACAGTATTTTACCGTTTAACAGTAAGCCTACATACACTATTTATCTGGACGGCATCCTTAAGTCCATAAAGTATAAACTTTTATGGAGATATATCAATAAAACATAAAAAGCGTGATGTAATTGTACCACCTGCATACTCTGGTTAGCGATTATGTTTACAAAGTCAAAGTAAAGTAGTGTGTTTAAATCTGTAATACATCATTTAGATTTTGGTCACTGACCATGTCACATGTGGTGGGATAAAATGTGGGGTAATTCATAATTATTCTGAAGATGTCTGATCGGCGTGGAAGAGTAGGCCAAATCAACTTTCCAGTTGGGCTACCCAGAGTTTCCTCAAGCGCATACATATACGTATGTCGAACTTCTTTCACACCGTACGTAGCCAACTCTGCTAATTAATTGGAGGTGCGGACCCTTTAGCAGGACTGTCCCTAGGGTACGGCCAATCGTTTTAAATTCCATGTCCAACTTACCTGGGCGATTCGACACCCAAAGTTGCAGCGAGCTTTGACCTTCGTCATACATGGGCAGCAGTAGCACATCGCACTTGTACGAGCCGGCATCCGACGTTTCGACGCTGGCTATTGTGATGGACGCCTTGCAGCTCTCAGTGCTGCCATGCCACTCGGCCCTTGGGTTGTAGCGCCGAATCGAGCCGTCGTTCCCCAGCACCTGAGGCAGCGCGAGAAACGGTGTTCGTCACGCGAATTGCACGGCCCTTATCCACTGCTGGATGCGGTGGCAGTGCCCACGTGATGTGTACCGATCGACCAACTGTGGTTAACTGTTAACCCTGGTTACTTGCATAGTGGTAAATGGAGATTACATTTAGTAAAATATCATTTGACAAAAGCTCGGTACAAGGCACGAACCGTTACAAAGTGTTGGGGGTACAAAAATGTTGCGGACCGCAGCCCAAACTCAGTGCTCCTGGGTTCTGGGAGGGGGAGAGGCTCTCTGCTCCGCTCACACAGGGACCGCGAGCGGGAAGCGGAGAGTTTTTATATGGGGGGTGGAAGGCAAGGGGAAGAGGAACAAAATAAAGGGAAAAGGAGTGGGGGAGGGGAGCAGACGTAACAAAATCCACCACAACAAAATAAGCTACACGCGTCAGGTGAGTTTAACGTCAGTACAAGTTCCGCAGGGAAGTGATTAACACGCCCGCATCCTCCCCCGGACCTCTCTTTATGTGCACCTCACGCGAGGCTCAGCAGGCACGGGGACTCTGGCTTCGAACTCTCGCTCCCTGCCCTTAGGGGCCGTCCATAAATGACGTCACGCGATTTTTTACGATTTTTGACCCCCGCCCCTCTTCACACAGCGTCACAAAAAGACAGACCCCCCCATCAAATATGACGTCACAAAGCTCTGCCGCCCCCAAAACCATATTTCCATTTTTAAAATAAAACATGCTTCAAATCGCTTTAAACTATTGTCATTGTAGTGCGTATTTAATGTGGCGCTGCACTCTGATATTGTAGGAGAAAACACGTATTAAAAAGGAGGCGTTGGAAAGCTTAAATTTAGCATACAATTCACTTGAAAATATGCAACGTCTAACTAAAAATGCCGATGTTCAGAATATTAAATTGAAATTATGTTATAATTATAAAATATTAAAAGTAATTATAACTATAAAAAAACTTGAACTTTGTAGTAGAACGAAGCAAAATGGAGAGTACAATTATAACAATCATATATTTATTCCACAGAATGAAAAGCCCTGGTAGAATCATTAGAATACAAATGTTTAATAACAATCATTAAAAAAATATTCAAAATGAATGCTTCTCCATTCTCCCATGGAGAAGCAAAATGCTCCTTCATGGAATAAATAAAAGGTGACCTTAGTTAATTTACATAATCAAATAGTTAATAATGAAAATTAATCAAAATTCGTGTTGATATAACAATACTATATTTATTTAAGGTTGCGCATTTTGATGTGACGTCACAATTCTCACCCCCCCCCACTCGTCACACATCGTTACAAATGTCTACCCCCCCCCCCCCGAGGTGCGTGACGTCATTTATGGACGGCCCCTTAAGCTTTGTGGCTTGAATGTTCTGTTTCAGTGAGGGCGAGTAACGTGTTATGCCACTGCTTCCATGAGGGGGGTTCATGGTCTTTTCAATTCGCCAGGGTAGCCTTCCTAGCAGTGATATTAAAGGTTTGCAGCAGTGAGGTAACAGTCTTTTGGAGTAGGGGAGGGGGCGGTTGTCCAGTAAAGCAACGTTAAAGAGGAAGGAATCATCACACCCAGGTATTTGACGTGAGTTGGGCACGACTTAAAGGGTAACAAATCCTCTTGGGGTTTGGGAAAGTTGGGAGATCGGGGCATGACCACCGATTCAGTTGCGTTTGGCTGGTATCCTGATGCTACCCCGCATGTCCTCACTGGGGTTAAAATGGCTGGGATTGAAATTTCCGGGTCTGTGACATGATGAGAGTATCGTCGACATGAAGGTTGCTTTTATTGTCCACTACTTTACAACTAACACTTGAGATTTGTTGAAAATAATTAAATATTTTTAAAATGTAAACATTCACAATGTTCGCATCATCAAAATCGTTGCTATTTGTGAGTGGGGTCACTAGGACCCGAGACCACACAGGAATGTATGTTGAACTTTAAGATGGTACATAGCCAACCGGATAATGGAATACCACACCACTTGTCTCCTGATTTCGTATGTGGAGGGTTGATCAGTATGTTTGTGTGTAGATAGATATCTGTGTGGGTGTGTTCATGTCGATGTTATGCGGAGTGGTCGCGTAGCGCTTAGTGTGCTGCACTACGAACCCGGTGACCCGAGTTCGAATCCCGCTCACGGCCAACGCCAGTTACGATTATGTCAATTGGTCCTGGACCTCCCCTAGGTGGACTCAGCCTCAAATTAGTACCTCGTGTGGTGTTTACATCGCCACTCGGCAGACAAAGGCGGTCGAGCGTGCCACTGGCCACCGACCCCCTCGTGTACTGTTCTGGCCTTGATAGGTGTTACTCGCTAGCAGCACTTGCCCAACAGTATGATAAGGCTTTACGGGTGATCTCTGTCGCGTCGATGTTAGCGACTGAGTCAGCATTTAGTGTCTCGTTGAGAATCTGAAATGTCGCTGGCGAGAAGTTGATGTGATCAGCGGTGTTATAAAGTTGCGCGAGTTTTACTCTCTGATTTTAAGAAGCGGTAAGGGGAAGAGTCCGACAATTGTGTACGTTTGAACCCAAATGGGTAACACAATTTATAAATATATATACGGTTCCACACTTGGAACAATCGGTAGGTAGTGTCTCCTGTCACTGTGACACTTCTATTGTTATTCTACAAGTTCATGGAGAGTTCTCACAACCCAGCTGCTTTCTCTCTCTCTTCCTCTCCAGCATTGACAACTCTAACTGCCATTCTCCCCCTTTGCATCTGCTCTTCAAGTCACTTAACTCCCTTAACTGACTTGAACTGCCTTAACATCTTGCCGCGGTGGCGGGCGAGATGTTATCTCCCTCGCCTGGTATACAGTAGGTCGTGGGTTCGATCTTAACCCTGTCGCATGTGTTTTTTGAAATTCATAATAGATGTTTTTTGGTTAGATAAAAAAATGATAAATGCTTCGCTAAACCCGCCGCCAACCGACACAGCTAATTAGGAAGGTTTTTCATCTTAAAAAAACATGCCAATTCGTTACTAGTGTAGTGATGTATATTGAGTCACTACGGCGTCTAGCGCAGCTACTGGAGAAGAGTGGTACTGTGTATGTTAGAGCCTCTCTCTTGCACCAGGGGTGTATGCCATGGTTCTGGTGACGGTCAGAGAGAGGGTACTTCAGGTCATGACAGTCTGGGTGAACCCGAGAGGGCACGTGACTGAGACAGGGTAGCGAGGGGGGCCAAGGGGTGGCGTGAGGGACACGTGATACTGGGTCCGGAACCTTCTAGCAGGATCTAGAAGGGGGCGTGGCCGAGGGTGGAGCCAGGCCACACTCTGAGGCATAAAAGGGATGTCCCGAGAGCAGATCCAGGCTGTCATCTGCAATCAACCTGCCGTGCTACGTCTCCTCGATCTTCGGTCGTCACGTTCGCCATCGTGGGTTAGGCAGTACGTTACTGACCTGACCCGGTTATGTAGTTGCCCGTTGTGGTTCAGTCACTCGTGGAAGTTAGTTACCACTTACGTCGTTATTCTGTACGTTTATGTAGTTACCCTGTCAGGGTGTTGTAATAAGCGTGTTGCCTCCAAGTCCTAGTGTGTGTCTCCGTGGAACCCACTACACTAGTACAGCACACCGGTGTATTGGAGATTAAACCCACAACATTTACAATTCGAGCATGACGTTTTGCCAGTAATTACAACTCGCATCATCAACCATATTTGTGGAGAAATCCTCCGAAATGTGATGTCGTCACTTGTGAGCCAATCAGCGTGCGAAGGCCAGAGGGGGGTGGAGTTAATGTATGCATATACATTACAATGGATATCCATTACCAATTGGGTTATTCGTATATTTGGACATTGTTCTCCTGTGGTCGCACACAATTATCTCCGTGCCGTCCACTTTTCCCCTCTACATTTATAAATTACATGCGTTTAGAGTATTTGGCTTGCTACTATGCATTTCCACATGGTGATAAGCCACTTTGATGAGCTATCATTTGTGATTGCCAGGTCGATTCTGAAAAAGAGCAACTAATAAAGTGGGCCTTACCTCATAAATAGAAAACAAATAGTTGTAATAGTTTAGTGTCATAAGCCTTGCTCCAACGTGCCATCCTGATGCACAATCGATCTCACCTTCTTACTCACGGATCCAGAGTCTCTCCACCATCGTACCACGGTGTCTGTCACACCGACCGTGTTGCAAGTATAATGGCAGCTCAGGAACGCGGTCTCGCCAGACTGGACGGTGACTTTGCTTGGGGTCTGGACAACTAATGCCTGTACACTCAGTAGCACTTAATGCAGCATCAAAGATGCTCTCACACACATACACACGCACAGGAGCACAAACCACACACGCACACAGTGAGCAACGGGTTGAACTCACACCGTTGGTACCCCTGCAATAACGTAGACTAGCAGGAACCTGCTAAACATCGGCGGTAGAATAGTTGGCGAATATGTACGTTGTATCATCACTTCCTCTCCTGGACCTCACCAATGTCGTGTGACGTCATAACCCGCCCCTTCTCATCAACGCACCCCTATCTAGCGTGACGTCACCACCTCTCTGCTCTAACTCACCAGTATCGTGTGACATCATCACACCTCCCCTCTCCTTACTACCTCCTTGGCCCGTGAACCAAAACAAGTATCTATGAGTGTGTGCAATGGGTGAAGTGTTTACGTGTACATTCAATGTGTTATGTCATATACATTGTATATATATGGCATAGTAATTCCATAAAAATCTCACTTAAATACAGTAAAAGCCGGCATCCATGGGGAATACAGAGTGCCGGTTAATCAAATACGCCGGTTATCTGAGACTGGTTATATGGTTCACCTCATTTTACAAGTACATGAAACTTTTCTTCAAGAAAGTAACTAAACCTACGTTTTAACTATGATGTAAGAATATATAATAATCATTCTAAGTTGACTGTAGAGAAGCAGATTAGAGTACAGAATACAGAGTAACGCTACAGCACAAGGACATCGAGTCTTCCGATAGCGCCGCTACCACTCGGCAGCATCCTGACGATTCCAATTTATAGAAGCTCACAGCAAGATGCCAGCGTGGCTATTGGGATTTTTTTCACGGATACGTGAATGAATATTCCGTTATATATGGAATAGTAATTCTGTAATTATCTCACTTAAATACAGTACAAGCTCGGTTATCCGGCATACATGGGGAACGGAGGGTGCCGGTTAATCAAATGTGCCGGTTATCTGAGAGTAGTTATACTTAGGGTTCACCACATTTTCCAAATACATGAAAGAAGCTAAGCCTACAATGTAACTATGATGAAATTAATAATAATCTGTTTTACAAAGGTACTCACCAGTCAGTTATAGAGCATTCTAAGTGGATTGTGGAGAAGCAGATTGGAGTACAGTTTATAAAGTTACACTACAGGACAAGGACATCGCACAAGGACAGCACACGGACATCGAGTCTTTCGCCAGCACCGCCACCACTCAGCAGCGTCCTGAAGCTTCCACAAACAACCAATCTTTCGGAGCAGCTCGCAGCCAGATGCCGGCGTGGCTCTTGGGATTTTTTCCCTGATACGTGAAGGAAGATTCTGTTATCACCGTCTATATGACAGATGCCGGTAAATAGAGCATTCCGGATTGATAAACTTAGGATAACAGGGCTTTAGAATTGTACCACCTGTGTCTCGGCACAAGGAACAGAAACATATAAAACTCACAAGGAAAAAAAAACCCGAGAAAACTACAACACCCAAACGAACAATGTTGCACCTGAGACCAGTTTTCATGATCTGTAGATTTTCAAGAATGAATAAGCGCCGAACCCAGAAATGGAGGAAGCGAAAAAAAGATGCAGAATGACCGGTTTTTCAACAGCAGCCCAGCCTGATCGAGAATGATGCTGGATGTAATTACCAGCGAAACGTCACGGTACTCAAGTTGTCAATGTTGTCGGTTTACTCTCCAACACACCGGTGGTATTGAACTAGCAACGAATTGGTACGTTTTTGTTTACGTGACAAACCTTACTGATTGGCTGTTGTGTGGTGGTGGGTTCCCGACACATTTATACTTTTGCGATCTAACCCATAAATACCTTTATTATGAATAAAATTAGAAGCGAAAGCCTACGTGTCAAACTAAACTTGGTTTGTTAATGTTATATACATTTTCTTTGAAATGATTGGCTTATACTAGAGACGGCCTCCTTTATAGCCTTGTCTCACCACCGGTATTAGACCACAGAACAACGCCAAAATGTGATCATCACAAAGGCATTACAAATATCGAAACATTCACAGCTTTAGAAATGACATCAAATAAGACTATGAACCACCAAATTATATGCAGGGTCTCAATAAAAAAAAGGACGAGATATTAATGAGTGCACTACAATCTTGCTTTGAACAATGACAGGCGAAAACAAATGTGGCTTACAACAAAATGAATAGAGGATTCTCTTCATGGCCATGCACCCGAACGTTCTTGTCAAACCAGGCCTGGTTTGAGTTGCCATTGGAGAGGCACGTGACTGTCACGTGCCTCTCCAATGGCAACTCACCACTCTTTGCTTTGGTCGGGAGTGGACTCGAGTTCAGTTCGCTGGCATTGTAGTTCTGAGCGTAAACCACTTTTCCAATGCTCTCCACGTTAAACCTGCAGACCTACAAACACACAAGAAGCTGTAAGTACAGGCAGGCCTCGACTTACGAACGCCAAGTTTATGAACCAGCATCATGTGGCTTTATTTTATGTTTAATTTACTATACAGCATTTATCACCCTATTACATGCAAACGTACAATAATTATTATTTGTGAGTTTAACTACGCTTCCCTTTTTCGTTTAGCCGTAATAACACATTCTATAACACTGACCAAATGAGCATTTAAATACAGTACATTGTGGTGTTCCTACTTACGAGCCTCGGGAACCTAACCCCGATCGTAAGTCGGGGACTGTCCTAGGAGCACAGCGTCATTTTTTTACTTTGTGTGAACGATACGCACCGTATACTCGAACAACGAGTAATAAACAATTTGTTTAACTAGAATTTCGGCGGTGTACGGCCACCTTATTCTCGCTCCTGCGGAGGCCTTCTCAGCGCTTCGTGCCTCGCCCGTCACCCCACTGATGTCCTCTTCTCCCACCACCCCCAAATGTGTCCAGATACTAATGGGTGTGTAGGCATTAAAGTTTACAAAACACATTTTTTTTCGGGGCGGGGAGGTCAACTTTTTACCCTAAATCTGAGGTTGGGGAGGTCCACACTATAACTTTTGATTCAGGCCTTCTGAAATGATATTTTAATTTAGTTGACGGACAAACGGAACGCCGGCCTTTTATAATGGATAACCTAAAACAATGCAGATTACTGTTCGAGATTTGAAGCTTGATACAGTAAATCTAGCTGTGACGGTCCCACCTGATGACGGAGACTTGTGTTGCCTCCGAAACGTCGTGATTTATTATTTTATGTTTATTTATTTTATTACTCTTATTAATTTTATTTTTTACCTACGTGACTTTACCGAAAAAACCTAAGAGTACAGATTACTGTTGTGTAAAATCATTGATGCAAATCGCTTCTCACAATCGCTGGAACTCATCAATGGCTCTGCGTTAGTGAACGTGCGTAAACAGCTATTATCGGCTGCTGCTGCATGGCTACGTGATGGTCAACAGAGACGCCACTGTTGTACTGAACTATGCAAGCTTCGTCTACGCTCCCCACGTTCACCGATTTCCACTGACCAGGGTGGATAAGTTTGGATTATTAATAACAACAAAAAACACATTTGAAAGGTGGCGCATTTCATTCGCAGAGCCCAATGCGCCGCGTGTGTATGAAATGCTGGACATGAACAGAACCTGCAAAGTGAAACGGCCATAATAGCTGTACACGTACACATGCATGCAAAGATCAACGATCACCCGCATAGTCTTAACAGACTGTTGGGGCAAGTGCTGTTAGCGAGTAGCAGCACCTATGAAGGCCGGCACGGCACACGAGGGGGTGGGTGACCAGGACCATGCCCAGCCCACTTTGTCTCCCCGTTGGCGATGTTTAAAACAACGCCAGTTACTCATTTGAGGCTGTCGACTAGGGGAGTCCCAAGAACGGTTACGATAATCGTTACCGGTGTAGGTTGTCAGAAGGAACTAAACTCGGTTCGAGCGCAGGGCACTAACAGCGGCACCACCGCTCCCCACATACGCACACACAACACGGTCAACACACGAGAAAAAAGTTCAACATAAACACGAATAACGATTCTTAAAAACTAAGCATAATTTAATCTTACCTTTCTTTCTCAGACATGGGAATTCCACTAGTACGTGGTAGGCGTGGCATGTCGGAGCTGTGCACATTCCGATTGGCTTACCGTGAAAACTGAGATTGAGGGAGCAGCCTATGACACCTCCACACTTACCTTGCCCGTGACCTCATTGTGACCTGCCCATGTACCACACAGGTATTCCACGATTTACAATATGGGACGCGTTCTGAAAAATAAAAGTCGCGTCAAAGAACATGTCGTAAATGGAAAATGTATTTTCCCACTATTGTAATCCTAAATGTAGCCGGTGTTAGCTGCGATGAACCACACGTATAATTGTGCACTTTGCCGCTTGCTCCAGGTGCGCTTTATACTGGTAGGAACCTCCTGGTTACACCGGCTCACAGGGGATTATTGTGTCCGTCGTGCAGGGAGGGGCTGGCGAGGGGAGTGAGGGGCTGGTTGGGGAGGGGAGGGAGGGGCTGGGTGAGGAGGGGCTGGTCACCCCGTGGTGCCCTTATAAAACTCAACGTTTAACCTACTCACGCCGGCTTGTGCCCGCCCTCACAGTCGGGCATATTTGCGGAATACACCACGCCGCCATTGACTCTGGCCATTGACCGAGCAACCCAACGTTCCTACCAGCTCCTTCCGCAGGAATGTGTTTATTATTATAAGAGAAGGCAATGGTGCAGGGGCGGTTTCTTCATTAGGGCGATTGGGCGACGCACCACCAATGTCATTCAACCACAGAGTCACGCTAGCCGTCACTGTGCCTCTGGATATAGTCCAATCAGCGTCATGTCACGTTCTGTGGAGTACCGCCTCTTTTTGGGCAATTTCACTCCGGCTGAGAATCGCCCAGATTGTTCCCATAGACTTACATTCAAAGATGTTTTTTTTCGAACGGGGGGCGCTGCAATGCATTTTCTATGGCTTCCGGGAGGGCTCGCACTAACGTGCTTACGTCATCATACGTAAGCACGTTTCAGTCAACAATTTTATTTATTAATCTGAGTACGACGTTTCGCCAGTTATTACAACTTGCTTCATCAGGCGATAGCCAAATTTGTGGAGAAGTCCACCTGTTTCGTTCCTTATATAAAGGCGAATTTCTATCTCCCCGTGATCGGGTGGATTTGTATTCGGTCCTCCGGGTTTTCCTTCCATATTTAGAATCGGCATCACGCGATTAGAGTATTCTGGCTACTGATATAAATATCCACGTGACGATAAGCCACTTCGTTGAGTGATGATTTGTGGCCAGGTCAGTTCTGAACAAGAGCTATATATCATGGGACCTCCTTTGCCAGTACCAAAATATGAGAATAGGTTTTCCCCTTTTTTCTAGCAACAAAACAGGTGTTAAGATGTTAAAACACCAAACTGAAACCTTTTACAAGGAATCATGTCTGCATTAACCACAATACTTGTAGTCAGAAAAAAAAAATACTCTGATAATATATGCATTGTCTTTGAAACTGATTGGTCCACACCAGAGACAGCTTTCTTTGGAGCCTATTCTCGAACGGTGTTAAAAAAAAAAGTACGCCTTTTGGCGTCCTCTGGTTTAACACCGTTTGAGACTAGGCATTATGTAATACCCCCATAACCGCAATTATCCCTCATTTGAGGCTGAGTCCACCTAGGGGAGGTCCAGGACCAATATAAATAATCGTAACTAGTGTTGGCCGTGATCGAACTCGGGTCACCGGGCTCGTAGTGCAGCACACTAAGCACTACGCTACCACTCCGCATAACATCGACATGAACACACCCACTGTCTCGGCCTCGTTGTGCGCTGCGTTGCACCACTGAGTAGTTAATCTCTTATTAAATAAACCTTCAGAGCCAGGTCAAACATCCGACTCCAAACGTATTTAATTAATTTAACATGGTAAAACTGGAGGTGTGTGGTGTGAGTGGCTGTATGTGGGGTAAGTGGAGGTGAGTGGGGTAAGTGGAGGTGAATGGGGTGGGTGGGGGGAGTGGTTGTGTGTGGGGTGAGTGGTGGTGTGTAGGGTGAGTGGAGGGGAGTGGGGTTTTTGGGGTGAGTGGTTGTGTGTGGAGGTGAGAGGGGGAGTGGGGGTGAGTGGGGTGAGTGGAGGTAAGTGGGATGAGTGGTGGTGTGTGGGGTGAGAGGAGGTTAGCGGAGGTGAGTGGGGTGAGTGGAGGTGAGTGGAGATGAGTGGGTTAGTATCGCCGGTATGGGCAGGATCTTAGTGGCTGGGCCGGTGTAAACTCCACCGTGAGTGGGCCGACCCAATTAATTTTCGATCTGCAGTAAATAAACTCGGGACTGTAATACTTTTGATGTATTCAATGGTCGTCCGATGGCGAGGAGATGTTATCCTTCTCGCCTGGTATGCAGGAGGTCGTGGGTTCGATCCCGACCCTGACCGATGCCTTGTGTATATTTGGAGTGTGTGTGTGTCTCTCTCTCTCCCGTGGTGGTCGCGTTGAGTTTTTATTACGTGTGGCCAGGTCGCTTCTGAAAAAGAGCTACCTAACTCAGTGGGGTTTACCTGGTATTATCGCTCAAGCAGTGGCCACATCTTTCTGGCACCGATCTCCGATGCCAGCGGGTGGCCCAATCGGCGTCTGCCGAGCCGCATGCGGCTCTTTAATCCACCACACGCGGCCCTTTCGAAGGGGTCATAACGTAGAACACGCGATCCCAGTAGTGGCAAAGACTGATGAATGTCTCCCGTGCTGTGAAGAATAATATCCCCCGTCGAAGCAGAAATATGTCCCAACATGTTGTATATGCTTACACTTGTACTGGTGTGCTTATGAAGTTCATTGTCTCCCACCAAGAGTGCCAGAGTGAGACATGCATGGAAATAAAGTTTCATTTGATCTCAAGTGCTCTTTAGCGTCATTTTTGACTGCAGCCGTAGCTGACGTTAACCTAACGGGCATCGCTGTTAGCTAGTTAGTTAGCTAGCTAACAGTGATCTAGGGAGCACTCGCATGCAACGTTGCTAACGTTCATTTGCCATATCTATGGGACCTTTTTGTCAGTTTAAAAAATGATTAAAAACAATAATATGTTTTACCCTTTTCTGGAAATAAAACAGGAGTTGTGTTAGATGTTCAAACACGAAATAGATACCTTTTGCAAGGAATTAAGTCTGCATTAACCACACATATTATAATATCGATCTCTACGTGCTCTCATACTTGCATTGTCTTTGTACTGTTCGCCTTTTAGGCGTTGTTCCCTGGTCTAACACTGGTGGTGAGACAAGGCCATGAAGAAGGATGTCTCTGGTGTAGGCCAATCAGTTTCATAGACAATGCATATATCATCAGAGCATGTTTATTTGCATGTTCACCACATGTATGTGTGGTTAATGCAAACTTGATGCCTTGCAAAATATATCTATTTGGTGTTTGAGCATCTAAATACAACTTCTGATTTATTGCCAGAAAGGGTAAAAACCTATTCCTATTTTTCATCATGTTCATTTGCCAGCTGACCAGTTTTGTGGTGTCGAGGCCTCGAAGCAACTCTGCAAGCACCGCGACCCCCCCCCCCCGCCCCTGGCCCACACACTGAGCACACACAGGCAGCGCACACACGTAGTGTCCTGGCGGGGGATTGCCTGCCACAACGGGTTTTAATCTCAAGGGTCTCTAGGAGGAAAGTCCCACGGTTTCCCGGTGCCAGGAGATTGGCCGACCCTCGCGGTGCCCCTGAGTTGGCTTAATATTGTATGGGCACAGAAAGGTTCACCGAGTCATTGTACGACATCAGGTGGGGCTGGGGTGGAATATTAAGCAATAAGGGCAGATCATGAGATCAGGGGATCGCAGCGCCATGACCTCCCCTGACCCCTTGAGCTGCTCGCAGCATCCGTGTGACGCCAGCGAGTGCTGCCACAAGGCAGTGATCGGCAAGGTTTTTTTGTCCTCTCCCTCCGCCTCTCACAGCGTCCGTGTGACGCCGTGAGTACAGCTACGAGGTACATTGTAGGGAGTTTGAGTATTTTGGACTTTGGCAGCAGTAGGCTAGGCTCTTCTCGCAAAATATTTCCCCCCGGGTAGTGCGGGGTTTGCGCCGAGAAAAAAAAGTTAGCACAGAGCACAGGCGTGGTGTCTGTGATTTATTTGTGGAGCGACTGTGTGGGGAAAGTGCGACGAGAATGAACGCGGAGCCGCAGCGTGTGCGCGAGTTAAGATGT